CCTGATACGATCATACCAAAAGGCAATTTAAAATTTAAATCTTTATTAGAAAATGTTAGTGCTTCCATTTAAAATAATAATTAACTAAAATTTATTAACTTAAATACTATCAGTAAAATTAAAGGGGTGGCTGTAGATTTGTATCATCTGGATTGTTTACTACTTGTTTCTTAACCTCACTTTCTGTTGACATCATACCCATTGTAACAGCCTGCATAGAGTCATAAAACTCTAATAGGACTGTATCATCATTTTCTTTAATTGAAGGTTCTTCTTTGATAGGAGATAATTCTGTAGGGTTCTCTTGTGATGGCATTTCTGGTTGCGGAGATGCAGGAGGCGGTGTTAATAATTCCTGATGTGGTGCGAGAGGAGGAGACATAGGCGGGGGTGTTAATAATTCCTGGTTTGGAAGAGGAAGAGGTTGGGGTGGTGCTGGTGGGAGAGGTAATTGGTCAATTGCTTCACGTTTTAGACAATTTGAATTTTTAACTGAGCAAACATTTTGGGAACCATATGGAATATTCAAAACGCGGCCTTTATTCTTGATCTTAAGTTAAATACATTTTTAGCATTTTATGATTAATAACCTTAAAGAAACAATGCCCGGGCAGGTCGTAAATACAATCAAAAGGAACGAAGCGAGGTGACGATAAACGAGTACAATAGATTGTTATCCCCTCTTTTGTAACAATAAAATCTAATTCAACTTCAGTGCTTTTACACTCACGACAGCGGCCACCATGTTCAAAAGGGATGAATCTAGGAGTTGATATTCTTTCACTAGTCAGGGTAATCCCATTAGCTGTGAGATTGAAATCAACCTCGGGGATAATTTGGGAAGCCAAATATTCCTTGTCGTTCATATTAAGTGCCATTTTATTTAAATTTTTCGGAAATTAATTAGCTTCGTTCAAATTTTTGTACTTATATACCCTCGTCTCGCTTCGATAGTGTCAAATCGCTAACCTACAATCTCCTTCATCTATTTTTAAAAATGAAGCCAAGCCGACTTTGAAATGAAATGAAACCGGTTTTGAATATATTTTCTACAATAATAAAAAGCCACGCCTCTTTTGCGGTTAGATATATATCATTTTTATTTTCTAACCTCATTCTACTTAATTTACAACAAATTACTTTCATATTTCAATATATTTTTATTTAATTTTTTAAAATTTAAAATATGATACAGAACAGTTCATTGGGTGAGAAAAATATTATTTTATTTTAAAAACATTTAAGTTCCTATTGTAGAGGATGTGGATTGTGAACAAACCAAAGAAATTTCTGTTAAAAAACCTGTCAAATTAGAAAGGAATAAAGAATCATGTGGTCAAAACTCCTTAGGTATTTTAATAAAATAAATGTTTTCCATAAAAAATTTTTTAAGACGCAACGATTACTAATCCTTCTGTGGGTATTAATGATACAAAAATTGTTAAAGAAACTACTGTTTGTGGACCAGTTGTTAAAAAACAACTTTGGAAACTTATACGTGGAAAATTTTTAATTACCTTCTACCTTTGTCAAGGTAAGAACAATTAAAATTATATTCAAAAATTAATTTGTTTTTCAGAATGCCAAAACAATTTATTTTACTCACAAGAGAAATTTGGAGAGAATTCTACAGGTATTACATTAAAGATTGATCTATGTAATAAGTGTGTCGACGCTAACTGTAAAGCTACAGATATTCTTGCACCATATAAAAAGATTGGTCAAAAAAGAAAAGCCGATTAAATTAATTAAAATTGGAAAAATAAATTTTGATTCTTAATTGCTAACTAAAGAACCTATTTAAATTTAAACGAATAAAATTGTTTAATGACAATAAAATTATTTAGATGTATTAGTCTCTAATAATCCGAATAATGCAATCTAAGACTCAATTTTCTTATTAAAGTTCAATTTTTCGAATTCAATTTCAATATATAATAAAAGATTAGAGTCAAGTTGCTACTCTGCGTCTCTAACCTCGATTCCATCACCATTCAATACCTTTCATCTAGCCAAACCCTACCGAATGAGCCACAAGGGTATTAAAAATACTTTAATAGTTTGATTTAAAATGTAATAAATTATACTTATATTGATTGATTATAATTCATATGAAAATTGATATTAGACTCTATACTCTAGATAGACTCTATTGACTCTGACTGGACATTTCAATTTCTCTTCTGAACACACATATCTTTACTATATATTATGTACAAGCTTAGAAGAAAACAATTTGTCTGACTAGAGATTGATAGTTCACCCTACAATAAGAAAAGGGAAGAGAAAGGAGAGAAGGACAAAAAACCAGTCTTTAGAATCAGTCTGAGGAGAAAAGAGGAAAATTGAAAATTTCCAAATTTTTAACCCTAATAGAAATTTCTAGCCTAACTTAAATTTTAATAATCTATACTTACACCCTATCTAAAAATTATATAAAAATATACAAAGACATTTAATAATATTTACTTTTTAAAAATTTAAATGTTTAAAATATTTTTAAATTTTTATTCTTTATTAATTTCTTTAAATTTCATTAATTTCTTCTTCATTAATTTCTTTATTCCTTAAAAAGATGCTCGGGTGGATTCCATGGCTACCAGAGTTTCCATCTTTTTAAGCGTCTGTGCTGCTCGTGGATCCACAAATTTAGGAGCTGGGCGGTTCTACAAAAGAATATAAAATTATTTAAGAAATTTACTTATTTAAATTTAATAAATTATTATTAATTTGTAACATTATTTTACCTCAGAACGCACATCAATAACTAATGGACCAGGTAACCCAGCTTCACGAACATGGGCCTTAAATTGATAATTTAGATAAATAAAGTATGTTATTTTTAATTAAAAAGTACCAGTTCAGTAAGTGGAATATTTTGAATAATTTGTTGTTGTTGTTTTTGTCGTTTTTGATGTTGTTGACGAGTTACTTTATTGCGGCGATAGCATAAAGAGAACAACTGAATTACAAAAATAGATAATTTGTTAGAAAATTTAGGATTACTTTAAGACCCAGAGAGAGTATAATGAGCAAAAGTATTGTATTTAAAACAAATTTTTCGTAGCCCCCAAAACCAGAATTAATATAATTTTCTGGACGGGCCAAGAAATTATCAAACTCGGTAGGCAAAACAGTTGTGGGGATGCACAAACGAGGTTTGCTGTACGCCTCGGGTCGGATACAGTGCTGACCCGAGGTACAAGAGCAGTTAGTAAATGTCCAGTTCATTTTAGAAAAAATTACCTAAATAAAAATTTTAGGAAAACTTTATAAAATAAATCAAATGAATCATTATACTCTCTCTATTATTTACACAAATTTTCACGTAAACACCTATTTTACAACAATTTTTTGACTAATTTACATAAATTGGCACAAAAGAAAGCTTACATTTATTGAAAGAAACATATTGGTCCAAAAGATCAACACAGATCAACACTGTAAAAATTGCGTAACCAAACTCTAGGGCTTTTATTATAAACATTTATCTTAGGGAACATTTTTTGCGCCAACTAGCCAAAAAATGGAAAAAAAGGATTAGGTAAACATCTGTGTACAAATTAAAGTACACAGAAAAGATACCCCCAAAAGATCAACTCTTTGATTTTAAAATAATTAAAAAACATAAAAAATTTTATACAAAAATCAAAATAGTAATTGTCTCGTTCCACTCATTAAATTTGAAGCTCTAAAGAGAGCCGTTTGGGTTTAAGATCCATTCCATTTGAGTCCATGCATTTTTTCAAAAAAAAAGTTTTTTGGTAAAGGATATCCGTCATCAATAAATTTGTATCAATTAAAGAAAAAAAGAAGGGAAGGGGAAAGCTGAAATTATTAATTACTCTTTAAAAATCGCCCTACCCCTAATTAATTCAAACCATCGCATTTCTTTTCCCTTCTCTCAATTTGTAAAATCGTCCCCCTCCAACTCCTATTAGCTCAATAGGTTGTTGTTTCTCTCACGGACCCCACTACCCACCAAAACTGTTAAAAGATTGCGGTTAGGGTAAGGGTCAACAACTTAAAAAATCCCCTCCCCACCACCCACCTCTCAATTTGTAAAATCCTCCCCCTCCAACTCCTATTAGCTCAATAGGTTGTTGTTTGCTCTTACGGACCCCACTACCCACCAAAACTGTTAAAAGATTGCGGTTACTAATTAGAAGAAAGGGGAATGGTCAACAAATTACTCCTTAAAAACCCCCTTCCTCTTACCCCCTCCCCCACCACTAATTTGAAAATCCTCCCCCTCCTACCACCCACTCACTCAATAGGATAAGGATAGCTCGCGCGGACCCCTCCCCCACCAAAGCTGTCAATAGGTTTAAGCTAGTGCGCGAACATAAATCATAATTAATTGCGGTTAACCACCCATCCAAAAGGATGGCGGCATCCCTTTGTGCGCAAAACGTTGGGTTAACTACTGCGGTATCAATTGAGAATTACAGATAGGCATTTATCCTCCGCTAACTCCCCAACCCATCCGACATTCATCAGAATAGCATGGTATCTTTTTAAATTTCCTTGATCCCTCCAATTTTCCTCGATCCCTCCTTCATAATCGCTCTAAATCCTCTAATATCCTCTAATATCCTTCATAATCCCATTGTATCCCCTTCAAATCATTACCCATCCAACTTAATTGTATCACAAGATCAACTATGACTCGCTGACTTATAGTAATACTTCTATTTTAACTGAAAAATGGTTAATACTCGATTTAAAATTTTTTTTCAGAATTTTGCGTTCTTGCGTTTTGCGTTTTGCGTTTTTTGCGTTTTGCGTTGATTTTTGGCCTTGCGTTGCGTTTTGCGTTTTGCGTTTTTCACGATTGCCTCTTGCGCCCACCCCTGATGACAATTAAACAATGAGCCAATAGGACAGTACGACAATTGACCACAAAATACATGGTCCTTAATTTTGAAGTGTAAACTTTAAAAATAAAAAAATACCAGATGATCCATTTATTTTTATGTTATTTTAATTACTAGGTATACTTAAATATTATTAATTTTCAGATGGATTTATCCAAAGCAAATTTAATGATTTTAATGTCGAAAGATACTCCATATTATGGAACTTTACTCACGCTTCGTGCGCTAGAAGTTGACATTGGAAAAATCGTATCACTTGTTGATAATACTGCTTCATTACAACAAGTTCATAAATGTGGTTTACTATTGTACGGGTTTTATGATAATTTTGAAAATTATTTGGTAATATTGAACCTGACAGACCCCCTTTTTTCCTCCCCAAGTTTTACCCTATAATTTTACAGAATGGTCAAACTTTTTCCTTTCTCCCATCCCAATTGCCGTTCTACAAAACCTACAATCAATTAAAAACATAACAGTTTTTCCTTGCTTCCTTCCCAATTGCCAAAAGTTGTAGAAAGGCAATTGGAATGGAAGAAAAGAAAAAGTCTGTCCATTCTGTAAGAATATAAGGGAAAAACTGGGGAGGAAAAAAGGGGGTCTGTCAGGTTCAATATTACCAATTATTTTTTAAGATTTAGGCCTTATAAAATTTATTGAGTTGTTTTTACGCAAAATACGAAAGATTTTTTAATTAAAAGTTTTTTTAAGAAATGGAATGTCGATAGATAATGATTCATCAATTGCTCGATTTATTGCGCAAAATTCTTCAGTTCATTTAGTAAAAAGGGATTTAAAAGAACAATTTTTAATAGAGAATTTTATTTCTTTATTTGAATTAATCAATGAGAAAAGTGCAAATCAACAGATAAAACGTGATGCAGAGAAACAGATAATTGACCTGGCTACACAAAATTTCAAAAATGATGGACAATTTCTTGTAGGAAATGCTCTTAGTCTTGCCGATTTATTATTTTTCGTTTTTCTTTTGGACCGAAAACAGGTTAAAATTTTGTTGATGGTAAATTATTTTGATTTTAGATTTTATCTTCGAATAATTTATTTAATAAACATTTTGATATGATTTTACAAAATAAACACTTTCATTCTGTTCACAATTTTGTTAATTCAACTAGAGTACATCCTACTTCATCTACACAAATTTCTGAAGATAAGAATAATTGTGGTGATAAAAAACAAAAAGCAAATAAAAAATCGAACGAAGGCAAAAAAGAAAATATTGTATTTTTTATTTAAAAATTATTAATACTAAATAATTAGGATGGCCCAAAACATTGAATTTTTACGTTGGTCCGAGCATTTTAAGATCCGGTTCTTAATCATATTTTTTCATATTTTGGAAATTTTGTGCATATTTAAAAAAAAATTTTTTTAAGAAAATTTTTTCGAGAAATTTTTACGGAAAAATCTGGTTTAAAAAAATTTTTTTGCAGAAATTTTAAGTCCATAAGATCTTATAGATTTTAAATTTTTTGACATTTCTCTTCCTCAATGACCTTATTTAAGAAAGAAGCTAAACAACAAATTAAAGATGAAGGGAAATTTGTAGAACTTGAAGGTGCCGAAATGGGAAAGGTTGTTGTAAGATTTCCACCTGAAGCTAGCGGGTAAAACAATTAAAAAAATCTAATTAATCAATTTTTAAGTTATTTACATATTGGACATGCAAAAGCAGCATTATTAAATCAATATTATCAACACACATTTAATGGCAAGTTAATTTTGAGATTTGATGATACAAACCCTGCCAAAGAAGATGCACATTTTGAAGAGGTTTCTTTGCTATAACGTATTTGAAATTCTTGGATTTTTTAAATTAAAAATTTTTATGGATTGTCAGATACTTTATAAAATTTTCTATTGGTTTACATAAATTTTTCAAGGTTATAATTGAAGATTTGAAAATGTTAAAAATTCAACCTGACCAATTAACACGTACTTCTGATCATTTTGATTTACTTATTAACTACTGTGAACAACTTTTAAAAGATGGAAAAGCTTATGTTGATGATACAGATTCTGAAACGATGCGCAAAGAGCGTGAGGAAAGGATTGAATCAAAAAATAGAAATAATTGTAAAAAAAAATTTTAAATTTATTTTCATTTTTTATTAAAAAAATTTTAGCACCAGTAGAAAATATGTCTTTATGGAACGAAATGCTTTTAGGAACTGAAAAAGGTCTGGTTTGTTGTGTTCGAATAAAAATTGATATGAAAAACAACAATGGAGCTTTGAGGGATCCAACAATTTATCGATGTAAGACTGAACCACATTTACGTTTTGGAGATAAATATAAGTAATTATTTAATTTTATTTTGAAAAATAATAATTTTAGAGTTTATCCGACTTATGACTTTGCGTGTCCAATTGTTGACAGTATTGAAGGAGTAACACATGCTCTTAGAACTACAGAATATACTGATCGTGATGAACAATATTTCTTTATATGCGATGCTTTGGGAATTAGAAAACCTCATATTTGGGCATACGCAAGATTAAACATGACAAATACTGTGATGAGTAAAAGAAAGGTTTTTATGTTTAATTTTTGTAAAACTACGGATTTTAAAAACTTCAAAACATTTTTCTCTCTGAAGTAAAATATTATTTAAGCTTACTTGGTTGGTTGATGAGCATTTAGTTGATGGATGGGATGATCCTAGAATGCCTACTGTTAGAGGTGTTATGCGTCGTGGTTTAACAGTAGAGGTATTTCTTTATATTAAATGCTTAGTTTCATTTTTAGGGATTTAAACAATTTATTTTGGCTCAAGGTGGGAGTCGTTCAGTTGTAACTATGGAATGGGATAAAATATGGGCTTTTAATAAAAAAGTTATTGATTCAACTGCTCATCGTTATACAGGCCTTGATATGGCAGAAATTGTACCAGTTAAAATTGTTCAACAAATAAATACTGAAATTCGTCAAATACCTTTACTTCCAAAGGTTTTTAATTATTTTTAAAAGTATTTTTCAACAAAATTTTATTTAAGGAACCAGAAGGTTCAAAGAAAGATGTTTGGTTTGGAAAAGAATTATTCATAGAACAAATCGATGCGAATTGTATGAAGCCTGGAGATTCTGTGACTTTTGTAAATTGGGGGAATATGCGTATAGTAAACGTAATTTTATTTAATCTTTTTATGAATAATTTAATCTTTTTGTGATATTAGGTAATTCGTGATGATAAAACTGGTAAAGTTATTAATATTGAAGCTGAATTGGATTTGGATAATAAAGTTTGTTATTAGATATTTGTTTTATCTTTTTTTTCAAATTTAGGATTATAAAAAAACACTTAAAGTAACTTGGCTAACAAATACAGACCCTAAAACAACTAATTTTGTTGCTAAAACCATCCATTATAATCATATTATCGACAAAGCCATTATGGGAAAAGATGAAGATTGGAAGCAATTTGTTAATCGTGATAGTATTGTAAGTTATTTCTTTTTAAATTTTATTTGTATTTATTTTAAGCATTATAATTCTCTTTTGGTGGAAGAAGCAATGAAAAATGTTAGGAAAGGTGATATTATTCAGATACAACGAAAATCTTTTTATATTTGTGATTCAAAAACAAATGAAGGACTTGTACTCATTGAAATTCCTGATGGTAAGGCGGTAGCTTCAACAAAGAAATGAAAAATTGATAGTAAATGTTAGGTCATGTTTGATTTTTTTAATTTTTTTTTATAAATGTTTGTTTTATTTATTTTTTTATCGTTATGTTGACCATCATCTATATTTATTTATTACTTTTATTTTTCGAATTAATTTAGGTTGTAGAACTTTTAGATATTAAAAATTAATTAAATATGGGCAACGATTCCGTTGAGGAAAATGCTACGGAATTTATTGAAAGAAGTGCGGATACTATTGAAAAAGACGCTAAAAATGTAAATGCTTCTGGAGGATCAAATACGATTAGTAAAGCTGGTGGTGCTTACATTCCGCCAGCAAGGCTTCGTATGATGCAACAACATCTGGGAGCAGATAAAAGTTCAGAGGCTTATCAAAGAGCAAATTGGGAACGTTTGAAACGCAAAATTCATGGTCAGATTAACCGTTTAAATGTTTCTAATATTGTTGATGTTGCTAGAACACTGCTGCGTGAAAATTTAATACGTGGGAGGTTAGTTTAACTTTTAGACATTTTTCCTAATTAGGGGGTTCGTTTCATAAAAATATCCGGATATCCAACCCGAGCTGAAACTCCGACATATAACACCGTTTCTGAATTTTGTCTTGATTCCACTCCCAAAAGTATTTTTTTTTATTTTTAGGGGATTATTTGCTCGCTCTATAATACAAGCTCAAGCATTTTCTCCTTCGTTTTCACATGTATTTGCAGCACTTGTAGCTATTATAAATTCTAAATTTCCTAACATTGGAGAATTAGTTTTGCGCCGTCTTATAATTCAATTTAAACGCTCATTTCGTCGTAATGATAAACAAACCTGTGTAACAGCTTGTAAATTTATTGCACATTTGGCAAACCAAAGAGTGGCACATGAAATTTTAGTTTTGGAAATGTTAGTTCTTTTAATGCAAAGACCTACAGATGATTCAATCGAAGTGACTGTGACGTTATTGAAAGAATGTGGTGCAATGCTTCTTAAAGTAACGCCAAAAGGTTCAATTGGTTAGTTTTTAAGGATCTATTTTATTTTAATTTCGGATTTAATTAGATTAATTTATTGTGTATTATAGCTGTTTTTGAACGTCTTCGTTCTGTTCTCAATGATTGCGATTCTATTCAAGAGCGGACACAATATATGATAGAGACGATGCTGCACATTCGCAAAACAAGATTCGAGGTTTTGTTTATTAGTGTATATTCGTCCTATTTTTATTTAATACTTATTAGAACTATCCAATAATGTTAGAAGAATTGGATTTGATTGATGAAGATGACCAAATTGCACATTTGGTCCAGTTAAACCCTGAAGATGGAAAATCTTATGATCCAGAATTGACATTAAGTTAGTTTTTTAGTTTTGCATTCTCAAATTTTTTCTTAAGATATTTTTAAATATGATCCGGAATTCGAAAAGAATGAAACAGAATATGATGATATTCGTAAAGAGATAATTGGAGATGCAGATGACGAAGGGGGCGATGGAGGTGATAATGATGAAGAAGCTGATGATGAGAATGAAGAGGAAAAGCGTGCTGCTGAAAGTTTGTTGTTTTTAATAATAAGAGTTTTTGTAATTAAATTTCAAGCAACTGCTGGCGTTGTTATTTTGGATATGACAGAGCAAGATATTGTAGCATTCCGCCGAAATGTTTATTTAACAATTCAGTCATCACTTGATTTTCAGGAAGCTGCACATAAGCTTATAAAATATGAATTGAAGCCACAATTAGAGGTTTTTAAACTTTAATTTTTCATAAGATCTTACTTTCATTTAGAATGAACTTTGTCATATGATAGTTGATTGCTGTGCCCAACAACGGACATACCAATCATTTTATGGATTGCTAGCTGAACGTTTTTGCCGACTGCGAAAAGAATTTCAGGTTATTTTAGTAGGATTAAGGCCCATCTAATCTTTTATAGGAAACATTCGAACAAATTGCTCGGGATACTTACAATGCCATTCATCGTTTTGATCATACAAAGCTTCAAAATATGGCTAAATTTGTTGCTCATCTACTGATTACAGATGCTATAAGTTGGGAAGTTTTTTCAGAAATCAAATTAACAGAACAAGATACAACATCTGCCGGGAGAATTTATATAAAAATTCTTTTTCTTGAATTGGTAGAAAAAATGTCCTTGGTTACTACATACAAACGTTGTAATGATCCGTTAGTTTTTTTAAATTTAAATATTAGCTAAAATCTATTAATTAAGTACACTACAAACTGCAATGGAAGGCCTCTTTCCACGTGACAATCCTCAAAATACTCGATTTGCGATAAATTATTTTTCGTTAATTGGACTTGGAGCTCTCACGTAATCTTTTTCAAATAGTTTTTTTCTTTAGTTAGCATTTATTTTTTAGTGTAGACTTGCGTGAACATTTACAAAAACGATTAGATAAGGAACGTAAGAAGATGGTTAAGAAAGAGGAGGAAATATCTTCTTCATCTTCTAGTTCTTCATCATCATCTTCCTCTTCTTCGGAATCTACAGATGAAGAAGAAAAAAGACGACAAAGAAGAAAGAGAAAATTAAAGAAAAGGGCAGCAAAAGATTCAGATGCTAAAAAGAGAAAAAAGAAGAGTACTGAGAAAAATAATGAAGAAAAAAGGACGAAAAAAGAGCGAAAATGAATAAAAAGTGAAGCATTTTCTGATTTTTCTTTTTTAAATTTAACTTTATTATTACTTGAAAACATATTTCTTTAATGTTTTCTTCAACTATTAAATGAAAACTTTATTCTAATTGTAAGAAAAGGCGGAAAATATAAATGAGGTCAATGTTTAATGAAGTATTTTGATTAATTACAACTGATTATAATGGGCCCCTACATAATTTATAAGAGATATTAGAATATTTAATATGTCGGTTCTATCATAGAGGTCCATTATGTAAAAAGGGTGACAATATTTAAAAATTGAAAAAGTGAAAGGTTTATGGGGAAATTTTTTTGGCAAATTTTACAAATTAATAAAGCTAAGATGTACTAATTATTTAAAAGATTTGTTTTAAACTTATTCTTAGCAAATCACTGTAGGTTTTGTCTGAAAAATAAATAAAATTTTAATTTTAGAATTGAATAACTTACAATTTGAAGTTGAAACCTATCAAAAATTAGTTGCAATTCCTCAAAAGGATATTGTTGTAAAACCACATATTCATCCAGATTATTTCTTTTAGCACATTTAAAACAAAATATTTTCCATTTTCCACTAATTTCTTTAACAAAAAGTATATTAAATACTTCGATTTCACATAAATGACAATAATGAGCACCTTTAAAAATAATTTTAAAATATTTTCAAACAAAAAAAAACAACAAACATTCTCCTTTTTGTTTTTGCTGCATTTTAATAGGACTTTTCATGGCTGTTCCCACAAAGTCTACAAGCATTTGACAATAAGCCAATGAACGAATTAACATATTTTTTATATTATTATATAATTTTTGATTACTAAATCTAACATCTTTTGCAAGTGCCCAACAAAGATGTTGCATGGGAACCAAGGAACGATAGGACTAAAAAAATATTTTTAGACAGCATAAATGACAAGTTTAAAAAATATTACAAATCTTACATTTAATCTGTTCCATTCATATGCTGTTAATGCCATTTCTATTTGATTTGCAGTCATTGGGCCGACATTCCAAGCAACATTATTACACCAACCTTAAAAAATTTTAAGTTAAAAATTACTAAAAAAACCTGTCGATTGAACCCAGTGAACACAACCACCATTAACCCAAACAACATCACCAGCACGCTGAGTAAAACGATAGAATGGTAAATCTGCTTTAATTAAATCAGCAACACTTGGCCACCAAGCACCTCTAAGGAAGTCAATATTGCGACTATAAATTTATTTTTATAAAAATTATAGGAAGTTATTTTCCTAGAAAGTTTCTTCACAGAAATTTCCTCTAATAAAATTAAAAACAAACTCTTTGCACATTTTAGCCAAAGCAGGCCAATATTCATAAGGAACACCAAACCATTCACATTCTCCAGGTCCAATATTTACATTAACACTTGCAAATGAATTATTTTCTAAATGACCAGGTGTTCTACAACCAGGTACTTTTAAATATAATTGGACTGTATTCATTCCAAAAACAGTATGTCCCAAATAAGATAACATATTACTTGCTGAAGTAATTCGACAAAATGGAGGAAGTTTATTTAATTCCTATAAATTAGAAAAAACCAGAAAATAATAAATTTAAATATTAATAAAAACCTTTAATTGAAAAGAAAATTTCTTTTCATCAGATAAATCAACATTAGTTCCAAATTTAATAATTTTATATTCCTTTTCAGGATTTGCAGAATTACTTGTTGGAGTTCCATTATTATTATTCAATATTATTTTCCTTTGCTTTTTATTTGGAATTGGTGATAAATCGCTTGTAACAATATTTTCAGAATTCAAAGATGAGCATGATGGTATATTACTACTTCCATAAAGTTTAGGATTTGCTTGTTTTAATTTTTCAGTTTCTTCTTTTAATGAATGTTTAAATGATTCTGCTTGATATTGACCAAATCTACTTATTGTTGTGAAACTTTTACTGCTTCTCTAAAAAAAGAAAATATTTATAAAAGAAATAAAAACAAAATCTTAAACAAATTTGGTGATTTATTCAAAATAAAATTTTGCTTACAATTGACCATGTTGGATTTCCCATTTGATCAACATTTACATCATAAGGCATTTTGTACTGTGTTCGAACTTCAACCTACAGAAATAAAAATTAAAAATATAAGTTATAATATCTAAGAAGGTAATTTAACCATATAAATTATAAAAAAACCTCATGATCTGCGGCAGTTTGTATAAGAGTTTTTGTAGAAAATTGACTCAAATCGATTTTTAACGCTAGTGTTAAACCATGAATAAGTACAATTGGCTGAGTATAACAAAATCTTTGTAATTCAATTGCCATAGCCTCTCTTTGGTTTTCAACAAGAACAACGGGAGTTTTTAACAATAAATTTTCTTTAGATGTAAAATTTGTATTTGGTGGAGGTACTGGCTCTTTGGGTGGAGGAAAGTTTTCATCAAAAATAGGCTTATATTCTTCTGGTTTTGAAAGACGTTTTTTACCTTAAAAATAAATTTTAGAAAGTTGAAAATATTATAAGTAATCCCAGTTTAGTTCTTACAAGTTGCAGAAAAATTATGAAAAATGTAACGCAAAAAGGTTAGCCTGAAAGCCATTGGTATTTAATCATAAAATTCAGTTAAGAAATCTTTCCGAAAATCAGGCATTTTGATGGAAAGACATCTTTGATATTTCAAACCATTTATAAAAATGTGGAAAGAATTATCATAATATCTAAAATTTATTCTTAAAAACTAACACATATCAAGCACTTCTGTAGAGGTAACTGTAACGGGTAAATAGACAGGGGCAAGTAATGAAAGATTTGGAGGTAATTCTAAATGGTTTGATGTCGATGAGATCTTTTCTTCCTGAATATAATGAGGTCCAGGTGATGAAAAAGATTGCTGATGATAATTATGGCTAGTAGATGTTTCTTCTTTTGGGGAAAGCATCGATGAAGGGAAAGGAATGAGGTTAATAAGAGCTGGAGAAATTTCAACGATTGGGGATTCTGGTGATTTATTTTGAGCTAATTCAAAGGAAGATGGCAGAGGTTTTGTGCCAGGAGAGCATTTCGGTTGTAAGGTAGGCTAAAAAAAGATCATAAACTAAAAAAAGATCATAAAAAATAAACTAAAAAAGAAGTTTATTTGAAAAATTAATTATAAAATCCACATTCAAAATTTAACCTGTTCTTCCTCCATGGATATTGCTTCATCAACATGCTTTGTTGTTGAAGTGCCTTCATGCGTATCACCCACCCTTTGTTCAAGCTCGTGAAGTAATGTACTCTAAAAAAGCTTATATTCACTAGAAGACCAATAACAAAATGAACATTTAGCAAATAAACACACCTCATGAAACTCTAACTGGTCCTGGTTAAATTTAAGAATTTGCATAATCTGTCGCTGAGTAGGTGTCAATGAGCGTTCGTTAGTGTCATTCTTCATAGAGCTAGCGATCAAATCGTGCATATTAAAAAGAATAGAGCCTTCACGATATTTATTCTCTTGTTGCTGTAAATTTTAAGAAAAATTAATATTTATTTTGTTTACATTAATGAAATAAACGTTAAATAAAAATTATATAACTTAAGCAACATGAAAAATTAAAAAATAGTGTTGGTAAAAATATGTAAAAATGTTATTGTTTTTTGTCAAAAAAAAAGAATGCGAACTCTTATTAATAGTATTTCCTGCAACATGTTGAAAAATTAAATTATTAAATGCCTATGTATTATATATTAAATAGTAAGAAGAGGAAGGTTTTATTATAAAGATTATCTTAAATGAAGAAGAAACATGTAAAAAGTGCCTAGTTATTAAAAAAACATTCGTTGTTATTAGCTACTAATCTGGCAAAAGTACAACAACATAAATTTTAAATATAAAAAGTAAGGTCTAGAATCTTTGTGCGTAAATGAAAATAAAAATGTGTAAAAAATTTTAATGAAGATGTTTGTTAGAATAAAAGTATTTGAGTAAAAAATTATGTAAAAAATATTTATTAAAATTATTAATGATAAAATATTAAAAAAATAAAATTTGTTAACATAAAGTGAGGAATAACTTAGATTGAAAAAAGTCTTAAAAAGGCATTGAAAAAATTAAAGTTTGAATATATAATAAAGTATTTTAGGAAAAAATTGAAGTTTTTTCTCTGAATTAAATATTTTAAATATACAGAGCTATTTAAAGTTTGCAAATGAAAAAAATTATAATTAAAAGTAGAAAATTGTATTCTTTACAAGAAAAAGGAAAATGTAGAATTGTAGTCATGAAAAAAATGGAAACTAAAAATAGAATTTAAATTTTGTCCAACAGAAAAATAGCTTAATAACACTTATAAAAGCCCAAAATGTTCAGCTTCTAATAAAAATATAAAAAGTAAAAAAAATTAATAACTTATTCAGGAGCAATTTATAAAAAATTGTAATTTTAAAATTAAAGAAAAATTAGAAGTAAAAGATAAAAAAGAGGATTAAATGAAAAAGATATAGAGCGGACATTTGTAGCAAAATCTAAAGGTAAAAAATAATGTAGTTTAAAAATATAATTTAGGAAAAAAAATAAAATTAAAATTTGTTGGAATATTTTGCATTAAATTGGCCAGAAAGGAAAATTAAAGAAATGCGTCCGCCAATGTCTGATAATTTTAAATACTAACCATTGACGGAAACTATTTTTACATTTAAAAAGTTAATAAAAGCTTTAGTTAATAATCTGAAACACGTAAAAACAAAATAATCATGTCGAAAAATAATGACGTCAGAATAGTTGGCTAACTAGTCATGAATTATTATAAAAACTAATTTTTAGACATCATTTACACATTATAATCCCCCCTTATTTAAATTTTTAAATATAATAGTTTTTTCTATTTCTCTTACCTTTTTTAAATCTAAAAGTCGCTGACGAACTTGCGCAGGTATACCCAGTTGCCAAGCACACTCAATGTGAGCCAGCCTTAAAAGAATTTCATTCAAGAGAAAAAATTAGCATATTTACATATACACATAAATTTAAAAATAGAGAAATATGTAAATATGGTGAGTTAACAAATTATAAAAATCACCTAACTTCCTCCGGTTGTTCTGGCTGTCTACTTGATCTGAAATTTTTATATATTTAAAAACATTATTGGACTATATCCATAAATTTTTTTTATTATCTAATAAAAAATGTTAAAAGAAAAATCTTACGGATCCAATTGACGATTAGATTGTTGCAGCTGCTTTTTCTTATCTAGCAAATCGTAATGTTTTTCTGCCAGATAAGTGTAATTAGCTGACCCACCAATTTTATTGAATTCTCGTTGAATGATATGGATTCTAGTATAGAGTTGTTCGGGTGGTTCTGTAAAAAAAATTTTGTGAAAAATATTGAAAATAATTTTAAAAAATTAACCATAAAAAGTGAGTAAAGTTTATTGTTAGTTAGGAATACAACGAATAAAGAAATTAGAAATTAAGGAATTTAAAAATATTTGAAAAAAATAAAGCTAATACATATTTAAATTTTAGATAAACCAACAAGAAATTTTTAAAATTTAATATAAAAAAATTTGAATAAAAAGTGAAAATTCAAAATTAATTTATGAAAAATTCAATAAAATTTAAAACAATTTAGTCAGTCGCTCCTAAATATATATAAAAGACTAAAATACATAGAAAGGATAAAGCATATATTCAACTCAAAATTTTTTTCTTTTACTCTCTTAACTGACTTAAATTTCTTATCGATTTTTAAAATTAAATTCCCAAATTTATATTTAACAAAATTTTAAAAAGTTTTAGCGAATTTTGTTGTAGGTGTCATTTTAATTAAGCAGTGTTATTATAAAATAAAAAATAGGTTATATACATAACCAAAAATCGAATCACATTAAAAATGAAAAATAAATCAAATTACTCACATACTATAAAAGAACATAAAAATACCTGGATTAGCTTGCAAAGCTTTTTCGTAACAAAATAGTGAATCGTTATATTGACGATGCTTCTCGTAAAGCTGCCCAAGATCAAGCCAAGCAGCGTAATGTTTGTTATTCAATTGCACAGAACAAGTAAATGACTAAAGTAGTGAGATTTAAAAATTTAAAAAATAAAAATGTGAAACAGTTCTAAACAAAAATAACCTAATTAAATATTTAAAAATACAACCTCCAATGCGTCAGAAGGTTGGCTTTGTTCTTGATATAAAACCCCAATGGATCGCCAAGTATTCGCATCCGATTCGTCACTATCAATAGCCGTTCTATAGCTTACAAAGGCATTTTGTGCGGTGTGATCCTAAAAATGTTTTAAAATTATTATGGATTAATTTAAAGAGCACATAAAAAGGTTAACATTGCAAAGATCAAAAAATTAAGGCATAAAAACTATAATTATATTAATGGAATAAAAATATCAAAATAATCTTTTGCAATATGTACTATTAATAAGTTTTAGGTGTACTTTTAAAAACAGAAAATAGCAATTAATCATCAGAGTAGGAAGAAGAGTAATTTAAAAAAGTTGCGCAGGAGTGAAATAAATTATGTCAATACTTTAAAAAGTCAAAAAACGGAGAAAAAATAAAGTAAATATAAACAAATGAATCAACCAAAAACTAAACAAAATTTTAAATATAAATTTTAAGTTTTAAAATGACTTAATTCAACTCGATGGACATAGGAACAAATATGAAGTTCAAAACGCGGAATTAATTGTTAAAATTTTTTGCTAATAAAGAAGCTAGCAGTATATTTAAAAAACATAAAACATACCGGATTATATCTCAGAATGTTTTGATTATTTTGTTGATTTGAATTTGTTCTTTGTTGATGTTTACCAGAATTATTTTCCTGTATAAATTTATTAGCCACACGAGTCTGGTCACTAAAACAAAGTCCTGAATAACAATTTGCCTTGCTATCTACTGGTTGTAATTCGCGAGCTCGTTGTAATAATGCTTCTGCTTCCTTTAACTTTTGAAGTCGAATTTCCTCTCGAGGTTCGCGTTCCCTTGAACATAGACTTATCCAGCCTTACAAAAAATTTCTATATTGAAAACTCATAAATTAAAAAAATAACCAAGACGTCCATAAATAGCAGAAAGAAGTTGATTATTTAATGGAACAATACTTCGATCGTGATCAGACAATAAACGACGGTATTCCTCAACGGCTTTTCGAACTTCTCCTAAGTATTAATTATAATTGGGGGTAATAGTGTCGTTTCTGCCCCGCCATGCCTAAGGTATTATTCCTTAATTAGTAAAAGAAACAAGTTTTCGTTTATAACCAAAAGATAATTTTTTGTTATCAATTTCTGGCAATTATATTTGACATAGAGAATACCTGCAACGTCAAAACAATGCGCTATCTGAAAACGAAGAAAGAACTTTGGTAATGCCAGGCACTCTTTTGTGTCTTCTAAGGCAATATTTAAGTGCTTAATTAAAAATAGTATAAAATTTATAATATAATAATAATAAAGATTACCTTTAATGCTTGAGGAAAATTGTCGAGTGCTTTGAAACAGAGGCCTAAAATAAAATTTACAAAAGCCAAAAAAAATTTGAGCAACCTAATCTAGCGTTAACCTCAGTTGCAACTTCAGAATATGGATGAACAAAAAGCAACTGACAAAAAAGCTCAATTGCTCTAAACTTGATTAAATTTTAAAAGGAAAAATGGGATAAGAGTTAAAATTAATAGAAATGCTCGGAAAAATAAGCTCTCATAAAGATGAAAATTTTCTTGTTTTGACTTTTGGACGGCAAATATTTTGGCAATATGTACAACATATATTTGAAGGTAACTATAGATAAAATGAATTGGTTGGATTAGAAATCGCCGTATACGGGAGCAGGCCAAACCCTCACAAAACAAGCATAATGGAGTAAAAACAAAAAAATAAATGGAGGGAAGCGAAGGTGACCTGCAAAAAAGGTTATCCAAACCAATAAAAAATCAAAAAAAGAGGAAATGAAGTGAAATGATGAGAAAATGAAAGAGAGAGTAGAGATAGAGGGAAAAATATAGCAATACAAGAAGAAAATATGTATGTATATTTGTGGTGAGGAAGGATAGAATAGTAAGAATAAGAGAGCATCACCGCCGGGTTTTTGTTGGCTACATTTAAATAGAGAGAAATCAATATACACATCTTAAACAGAAATGAAAATATTCCAGGGGGTCAAGGTTTTTGTTGTATAAAGGCCTTATAATTTGTTTAAGTTTAATGAAAGTCAAGTTCTTTAAATGAAATCGAATTAAAAAGCTTTATTTGCTTCTTTGGCGATAAAAAATGTAAAGATTTGAACCTGCGTTAAATCCTTACAATTAAAATAATTTGAAAAATATAAAGTTTCTTAAAGTGGAATTGAATAAGATACATATATGTATGTACTATACCTTGTTTAACAATTTAGGTATTAAAGTAAAGGAACCATTTAATATATATAAAAGTAGCCATCTAAAGCTAAACTAGTCATTTCCTGCGCAAAATGCATCACATTGAGGAAAGAAATGAAGAGTAAAAGCAAGGGTAAAATGACCATCATACTTTGTGTCCATTAACCAGACACTAAAGCTTATAAAAAGGAAATTAGGCACTAGTGGTTTGTTCAATATAATTAAATAACGAATTGAAACAAAATAAATTTAAGAATTAAAAATAAACCAACGGATGATAAACTCTAAAATGATAATAACACATTGCAAGTCCATACAAAGATGACTGTTCCTTCAAAAAATTATCCTTGTTGTATTTATACGCCTTTTGATAAGCAGAAAGTGCTTAAAACCTAATTCTTTAAATAAAATAAAAAAAACCTCTAGCAAAATCCTCAGCTAACAAATTTATATGTCCCAATTTAATATAAATTTGATAAAAATGATAGTTTTCTTTAAAAGTTTTGCGTCGTCCTCCAATATTGCATCTAATTGTTTTAACTAATTCCTTCTCGACAGCTAAAAAAATTTTGTATCAGTATTGGCAAACTTTTGTTTGCCTATAATACATACAATCAGAAAACAATTTTTAATGATAAATACTAATTAGAATGTTATCAAACAATTAAACTTATTCCAATTTTTTAGAATCACTCACAGGCGTCATAATTTTTCAACAAATTTTGAAAATTCTAATATTACAAAACAATGTATTAACCTTTAAGTTCCCGTGCCAATTGCTCAGCACCCAAAGGGAAAGAACTAACCAAATGGCGGCCGGTCGTAAATTTAACAAAATTAAGACTGAAAAGTAAAGAAAACAATAAATTACAATAAAAAACCTTGAAAAATTGAACGAATCGTCTATCATTTTTTTTCTCGCTTCAGGAAAGAACTTTAGGAGACTCAAATGTATTCAGTTTTAAAAATGAAACTTAAATTAAAATTGTTAATTCGGAAAGGACATCTTTGAAGGTAAAAATACAAAAGGTGGACAAAATTAAATAAAATATATATTGCACATATAAATTAATGTATAATAAATACATAAACTATATAACGTTATTATTTATTCAACTTTCGTAAAACAATAAATTAAAAAATAACAAACGGATAAAAAAGGAATAAAAAATGGAACGGTTTTGTTTGTAATGAAAATGTTTTTTTTTAAAAATAAGTGGACGGAAGTCATTTGTACGTACATATTTTAATGATGTTCATCCCAATTATTAGTTAATGTCGTATTTTCAATTATAGAAATGGCTTCATCTCCTTCACCTCCAGCAGCAAAATTTTCAGAAATCACCTTTTCATCAACTTCATTTATTACTGGCATCATTATCATTGGTTCAGCAACCTAATTTAGAACAAATCAAAAGGCTCTTAAAAATATTGACCTTTAATCCGTCATTGTCCAAAATTGCCTGTACTCGTTTATGATGTTCTTGATGAGCAGAAAGAGCATGTCGTTCATTGAAGCTGCGAAGACAAATGTCACAAAAATGAGGGCGTTGTTTCCTAACGTTAGAATGTTCACTTTCCTTAATTTTATTAAAAATTAAATAATATCAGGAATTCAAAAAATTTACAATATGTTCATGACACTCAATTCTCGAAAAGAACGTTGTCTTACAAACCGGACAGTCATATTGCTCCAATGGAATAGCCCTATAAGTTTTGGAATTATAAATATTAAGACAAAATGTCAGATGTTTACCTTGCATGATGAAATAAATTCTCCATATCCATAGCTCCATCCTCAGTTATTTTTACAAGATCAAGAATACGTCGCATCTTAAGTATTATAGAAATAAATCTAATTTTAAGCAAACCTTGTCCGAAATAGAAATTCCAGGAAGAAGTTCTCCCCTTCGAATTTTTTCAATCCATACTTTAGTTTCAGCGCCTAATCCTAATTTTCGCTTTTTGGGTCTATATGGCGTTGCAAACAAAGACGTAGAATCAGCATTTGGACGAATTAAGGAATTTCAGCTGGAGCACGGCGATTACTAAAAAAGAAAGGTTAAGGCCGAATTAAGTCGCAACTGAAAATTAAAAAGAACCTAGCAAATGGCTGCCAAGCCAATTCTAACTCCTCCTTTGTTGTACAATGCGTTCTAAGATGTTTCTTTAAATTTCCTTTTAGTCGACAAGTTTTGCCACAAATAGGACTAAAAAATAGAAAATTATTTTAATGAAAATAAAACCATTGATGTGGAGTTGTTCCAGTATGGACAGAACGATGCTCAAAAAGATTTGATTTAAATCGAAATGATTTTCCACAAATATCACAGGAATAAGGCTTTTGATCCGTGTGAATGATAGCATGCTGTTGAAGACCTTTAAATATTAGTTAAAATGAAAGCAAATGGGCAAGGCGTTCAAACTCTGAACAAAATGTTTTTTGATACGAGAAATATCAGAAGTTTCATAAACGTATCAATCAAAAATAACAAAAGAATAAAAATAAACCTTTAAAGGAAACAAAAATTTTGTTGCAAACTGGGCATTGATGTACAGCCTTTGGTTTTACAGCCGGATCCAACATTGATTCCTCACTTTCAACTACATGATACGCCTGCATAACCATAGTGTCATGTGTATCGCTTGTACTAGAAACTTGTCCCGTAATATGCATCTCTTCAGAATTTTGTGAATTATTATAAGACTGAAATAATATAAAAATATTAGCATTTTTCTAAATAGGTAATTTTATCAATTACTTCAAAATCATGATTCATTTCTTCAGTATATTGATTGAAAACTTGATCGTCCATTTAGTCTAAAATCCAAAATTCTACTAAATAATAACTGAACCTATAAATACATAAAAAGAAATTTAACAAAAACACCGTGTATAAAGACAAAATGGTATTGACAAAATGGTAACAAGTGTAAGAGAGCCGGAGCAGGACTAATAGGCGCGGCCGAATAGGCGCCGAGATAAATAGGCGCGGGACGAATAGGTGCCCGAAGTTATTTTTTCCTAGAAATTTTTTTCTGATTTTTTGTTCTGATTTTTTTCTGATTTTGTTCAGATTTTTTGTTCCGATTTTTTATTTGATTTTGTTCTGATTTTTTGTTCTGATTTTGTGATATGTACATGTAAGTCGGATGTCGAGTGAGTTGGGGAGATAGCGGAGGTAAAAGGTATGAATTGATATCGAGGACTGAGGATTGCGGCTGCAGAGAATATTTTTATCACTTGCCGACAGCCCTGATCAGAGTTCCAGATACTGAAACGATATTTTTCTGAGCCGTTCCTTGATGGAAAATTAGTATTTAAATACTCTACTCTTAGTGCCGCATGCGAAAATTTTGAGGAATTTGGAAGTTGGGAGAAAGATAAAAAAATCAGAACTAAAAATCAGAAAAAAATTTCTAGGAAAAAATAACTTACGGCGCCTATTCGTCCCGCGCCTATTCGTCTCGCGCCTATTTGTCTCGGCGCCTATTCGGCTACGCCTATTCGGCCGCGCCTATCGTCGTGTACCGAAGAGAGCAGTTCATTTCAGTCTGCACGTTTCAACCTGCATTGTTCAGTCTCGTTTCCTGGCACGTATCAGTTTACCTTGTATATAGAGGTTAGAATAGGATCTGCGACCTCGTTTAAGGTTTTTTAACCTTGGCTTTATTGAAGAGGACTGATGAAACAGAAACTTTTAATTAATCTCGTGTACTAATTATATTGAAATCCTAGATTATTCGATTATTAATAAAGTTTAATTCCTCGTTTTGTAGCCTAAAAACTATCCTTTCTCATCTGCTTTCAACGACCTGTCAACTACTTAAGTGTTGGGGAAGTGTGTACTTGCCAAAGTCAATTCATCTCTCTAAACAAATAATTCCTCTCAATTTGGATAAAACTTAAAATAATAAAAACAAGTAAAATACATGAATACACATCCATCCATTTAAGGCTTTTTTCTCATACAAAAAATAATTTAACGTTAAGAGGAATGTCCGGTCCAGATGTGAAGAATAATAAGAACATTTTTTATAAATGCTTATACTTTATGTATGAACACATTAGTATTTAAACAAAAATATTAATTTTTAGCTTTAAAAATCTTTCATCACATATGTAACTTCCGAATAAATATATTTATTCCGAATTCATTCCTCCCATCTTGTCAGTTTTTTCATTTTTTTTCACTTAAAAACCCAAAAATTCGTTAAGTTGACATAATTGACAAATTTTAAATTAAAAAGAAAAGAAAAAAGAACAAAACGGAAAAACCGGCAGCTTCTTTAGAAAGAAAACAAATCCTTTCATTTTTACTTAATTACTACATATTTATATGAGAAAAACATGTCAACAAACGAATCAGAAAATATAAACCAAATAAGAAGCTAAATTTTTGGCTTTTCATTTTCTATTTTCGATTGTTGGAGTTAAATAAAAGAGTAATTTGTATGTACTTGTGAAAAAAACTACTCCCTCACACATAAATGCGAGATTATATTTTCACAAAACATAGAATATTTTTGCGTAGAAACTCAAACAAAATTCAAACAAAATAACACGATTGAAAAGAAAATTTTTCATGTATGTAGAAAAATTAGCAAGATCTTTCGTTATTCCGCAATTAAAAAGGAGCTAATGTAAGACAAGACCAAAATCTACTAAAAGATGTTTTTTAATGCTTTATTTATTTTAACGCTTTTTTTAAACTTTTTAATGCCTTTTTTCTTTTATTTTAACTCAAAAATCGCAAAATAAAAATTCCGGTATGGGATGTTTCAGTCCGCGTTTCAGCCATATTTCGGAGCACGAATTTTTAATTCCTTTAATTAGCTGATTGAATAATTTTTATATTAATAGAAAGCTCTGTTGTGAGGTTTATTTCCAACAGTTTGATAGATTAGATCATAGAGACGCAATAAGGATAACTGACTAATTAAGAAGAGACTCAATAGCTCTTGGGACTTAAAAGTGGGACTGAAACGTTCTTTTCCGTAGAAATTTTATTTTCCAAAAATAGTGAAAGATGTATTAACTACTTTTATCGTGTTAACAACAAATTGACCAAATCGAAAATCTAAGGATGATATGTAAGTAAAATTAGCACAAACACAACATTATGTCAAAGCAATCGCGAACAAGACGTATTAAGGTACGAATTTATATAAAACTAAAAAATTGTGGCCAAAATTTGGAGTATTTATTTTAACGTCTTTTTTATTCCAATACATATTTACACTAAATTTATTCTAATAGTATTCATTCTAAATTTATCATACATAGTCTTTTTCCCTTTTAGTTCAACTAAAATTTTTTGGTTTTACGGATTTTTAGTTTTCCTAATTTGCATTCCCTTAAGGCATAATGATGGACAGTTAGATGCCTCGATTCTTTCTTCTTTTTTATGGAAATTTATGTTATGCGGAAAGAATGATATAGTATAGGATATAAAATGAAATTTAAGAGTTTTTTAAATACAATTGCCAAAAATTCATGGAGAATAAACAGCAAATACATATGCTAAGAATCTTGATTTCAATCATTTTTAGTTTTTTGGACGATTTAAAAGAACACCAATAACTGAATCTAAACAAGAAATCAATCATAATTGTGAACAAAAATGCATAAAAAATATTAATTATTCAAAATTGTCACCAAAAATGATTGTGAACAAAAAGGATAATCATCCAACTACAAGTACTACTTCAACTTTAGATTCTTCTATCAACTCCTCTTTAACTGGTAAATTTTTAATTTCCAACATAGTCGCATTCTCATGATCTGAAAAACAAAGGTTTCATTATAATTCATCTTTTAGATAAATCGCCACAGCAAATAGTACGACCATTAGCCATTACAACATTAATAACAGATGAAAAATTAGAAAATTTAAAGCAAAATAATTTTTTATGTTCAGGGATGATTGAACAGGTTTATTAAAAATATTTTTTGGCAAAATATTTTACAAAATTCTAAACAGAGAAATAAAGATACCCGTGTAGAAGAAGTAAATCGAAAACAACTATATAATTCATGTATTCGCCCAAACAATTTATTTATTCCCAATTATTCACCTTTACCTACAAGGCCAAAATCAGAACTTTCTAGAAGACCAAGTATTTCTTTAACTGATTCAACCGTTTTACAAGGAGAAGCTGGTTGTGGTAGTAATAGTGGAAGATTTACTATTAAATATGACAATACAGAATATGTTGTTGATGGTATGTGAATATTTAAATAAATATACTATATTTCAATAATTATCTATCCTGTTCTTTATACACTAATTTTTCTGAAATAATGCCTCAGTTTTCTATTTTAAAATAAATATTAGTCTAAAATGCATAAATAAAACTTCTCAATTCCTTTTGTTTTTTCTATAGATAATTCTTTCTCATATCTTTCCATTTTCTTCTAGACTTAACTAGATTTTAACCAAATATTTTTGCTAAATTTTATCTTGAATGAGAGAAAAAGTAAAATAAAAATAATACAATTTATGAATTTCCTAGTTTTTACGGGTAATTTGTTAAAAAGACAAAATCATTTCAAGTTATGCCCTTTTGTTGATATTTTCTTTTGTTTGAGAATTTTTTCCTTTGTCAATTTCTGAATTATACATACATAAGAAATTTGTGAAAACATTCCCTTAGATTTTTTATCTTTCTTCTTTTTTCTCATTATTTTTTTAAATATGTTAATTTATTTTTTATACTAGGAAATATTTTTTCCCACATTTTTGAATATTTAATATAAATTAGCCAAATTTGTAAAATATTTTATTTATTTAAAGTTGGTGGCAGTCAAGCAAATATAAATAAAAATCAAGATGGAAATACTAAAAATAATAATTTAAATATTAATTATCGGTTATATCGTCGTTCAAATTCTGTTGCTACTAATAAATTTAATATTAATAATAAACCTAAGATGTCTGTTGTTGGAAGGATGGCTTCAATTTTTGTTAATGATGGTATTATAAATAATAAACAAACAAAACCAATAAGTCAAAAACAAAAAAGGCCTACATCTTGGGGGCTTTCAGGTTTATATTTTTATTTTGAATTTAGATTTCTTCACTCAGAGATTTAATATTCGTATATTAAAACATGTTAAGTTTTGGTGACAATCACAAAAAAGTTACGTATAAATACGAAACATTTTATTTGATTAGGTAAAAATAAAATTTAACATAAATTTAGAAAGAAGTTGCGACACTGATAATTCTATAGCGGGAAGCGAGGAAGATACTTATAATAATTATCATAATTTTGACTGTAATGATGAAAAACCAAATGAAAAGGAACAACAACAACAAAAACGTTTTGATAAAATGGCTCTTGAAACCGTTAAAAGGTAAAGTTTTATTTTTTGTGCGTATTATTATTTTAAATGTTAGAAAATATTTTTTTAATTTTTACTATATCAGTATATAATATGAGGTTTTTATGGAGATCGTGTATTTTTTTTTCAATTTCAAATGAAACAATAGAACATGTTTATTTTACCCTAAATAGTTTTTCGCGCAACTTTTCCAAGTGGATTTGAAGAGTTAATTCTTTTGAAAAAATTTTCTTTTTCCACTTTTTAAATTCTTCAACCACTTTAGCCCTTTTCATTCAAAGTGTTAAAGCTTTATCTTACTCCAAAATTTTTTATATTATTTACCTTCAAAATCGATTAAGAATTTTTTGTTGACATAAATTAATAATTCATTTTTTTCGTGGCTTCTATTTTTAATAAATTTTTATGTATTTTAATTTAAATATAAACAACAATTCCTTTTTTGAATAACTGAGTTCTCTTCTTTTAAGAAGGTCCCAGAGGAAGAAACCCTTTCCATCAAATTTTTCACTTTTTTCAACTATATTTTGTGTTTTCTATATTATTTTCAATTAATACTTTTAATTTGTAAGTCTCTTGATTTTATAATTTTCTATTTTTTTGAAAATCTTTAAATTTTTGATTGGTGGAAGTGAGGCGATCAAATATTTAGTTCACGGGTGTGTGCCTTTTTTATTTTTATTTATCAAGAAATTTGAAAAATTTACAATAAACTGCAAAAATGTATGACTATTGTTGCTATTTTTTGAATTTTCCTTGTTATTCATGAATCGAAGAAATTCAATAAATGAAGATCATCAAAAAAATTCTTTTTTTACTGACATAGTAGTCGAATTAATGGAACAATCAACTTTTAACTCTGCAAAAAATTCCCTTTCGAATAACAATGACACAAATAATGCGGTTTGTAGAAAATATGGAAATCAAATGGAGGAAACAACAAATGATACGACCAATAATTATTTTAATTTTCCTTCAACCGTTTCTTCAAAATGGAAACCTCGTTTAACTTTGCCAGCACTATTACCAGTTTTAGAACAATTAAGAACAACACAAAACAATATTTCGTGCAATAAAAAGGAAAACAATTCTCCGCGTTCACCACAACCTTCAACACCAAGTTATTTAAGTAGGTCACAATCTGTTGCATCGCGTTGTCAGGCGAGTCCAGATGTGCTTCGGGATTTGAGTTTAAGGTCTTGGAAAATTTTTTAGAATTTTAATTATAAATTGGTTAGGAATCGGGGTGTATAATTAAAGATCTCTGAATTATGTATAATTGTATCACTATTAACCTTTTAAGGGTTTTACAAATATTTTCTTTAAATAAAGTGATAGAAAAATATGTATAAAAAGGCTTCGGAAAATGTTTTGGTTGGCATGGTGACATGAAAGATAGCAAGTTATTTTGTTTTATGGTAACTGTCTGAGCTTTACATTGGAAAAATGACTAATAAATAAAATCAAGAAATATGTATTTTCCGAAAGACTTCCTATTAATTTCGGAAGCCTTTTTACATATATAAAACAAACAGTCACATCGACCAATTTTTACTTTTTAACTTTGTTATGTGTCAAATCAAAAAGAAAACTTACATAAAGGGATTAAATAAATTCTTTGTAACACCCGAATAAATCCCTTTTCTTTTACTTTTTCATACATAGCACCTAATCATATTTTGAACATTTTTAATAAACCTTTTTTATTTTTTCCCAACTTAATTTTTTAAAAAATGATGATCATTGGCGATCAATATGGCTTTTATCAGCTAGTATTGAGAAAGCATGCTTGCAGGTAATGAAGTGAATAATAAAGTGAGGGGGGAACTTACCACAACCGCCATAGCTCAGTCATTGGGGCACCTGATCGGGCAAAGCGAAGCTCCTAAGAAAAAACTGATAAAAGGTTGAAGGTTCAATTTTGCCCGGTGGATTTTTTAAATTTTTTAAAATAAATTTTTTAAATTTAGACTTCGCTATATCCTTCACCAACTAAATTCGGGCCAATTACCTTTGGAGGATCTTAAAAGAAATATTGAATATGCAGCTCTCGTTCTTGAGACCGCTTATATGGATGAAACTAGGTATTTGAAATTAAAATTTTAATAATCTATTTAAATATAAAAAGACGAATATGTGATGAAGATGATGATTTGGCAGAGGTAAGATTTTTATAGAAAACGTCATCTAAAAATGTTATTCCAGGTAACACCTGAAGCAGTGCCTGAGGAAGTTAGGGAGTGGTTAGCGGCTACTTTTACAAGACAAGCAGTTCAATCTAAAAGAGAAAAGCCAAAATTTAAATCTGTTGCTAATGCAATAAGAACTGGAATATTTTTTGAAAAGTAAATAAAAATATTTTGAAATAAAAATTAATTAAAACAGAATATTTCGGCGCACTCAAGTTGTATTGGCTCCAATACCAAATGAATATAAAGGATATTTACGTAATATAAATAATTGGAATTTTAGTTCATTTGAGTTGGATGAATTTACAAATGGACATGCATTAAAATATGTTGGATTTGAAATTTTTAATAGATATGGATTTTTGGAAAGATTCAAGGTAAATATACATGAGCATATTTTAAATTAATTTTTCTAGATAAATGTTCAAATTCTTGAACATTTTCTTCTAGCTTTAGAAGTTGGTTATAGTAAACATAATAATCCTTATCATAATTGTGTTCATGCGGCTGATGTCACACAAACATCACATTGGATACTTTCACAGACTGGACTTGCAGTTTGTGTTTTTTAAGTTTAAAACAATTTTTTAAAGAGTACTTTAACCGATTTGGAGTTACTTGCTGTTCTTTTTGGTGCATTAATTCATGATTATGAACATACTGGCCATACAAATAATTTCCATATTCAATCCGGGTTATTCTACAAATTATATTTTAAAAACGATTTAAAAATAGGTCTAATTTTGCACTTGTATATAATGATAGAAGCGTTTTAGAGAATTATCACGCTAGTTCTGTATTTCGATTGATGAAAGATGAAGAAAAAAATATTTTTGAAAGATTATCGAGAGATGAGTTTCGGTAAGAAGATATACTTAAAAAGAGAAAGAATATATTTTTTCAGTGATATTCGAAATATGATTATTGAAATTGTGGTAAAGTTGTTATTATTTAAAATTTAATTAATCTTTATTTAAAAAAATAATTTAGTTGGCAACAGATATGTCAACCCATTTTGTACAAATAAAAACTATGAAAAATATGCTAACGCTACCAGAAGGAATTGATAAAATGAAGGCTCTATGTCTAATTGTACATGCCTGTGATATGTAGGTTCAGAATAAACAGTTCAGTATAATGTTTATGATTTTTGCAGTTCTCATGCTTCAAAGCCATGGGATTTACATTATAGATGGTAAAAGAAACTAATAATAATTTCTAAGTATTAAAGGACTGAGGGCGTTTTAGAGGAATTTTTCCGTCAAGGTGACCTCGAGGCATCTATGGGACTTCCATATTCCCCTCTTTGCGATAGACATACAACACATGTAGCAGAGTCACAAATTGGTTTTATAGATTTTATTGTTGAGGTAAAAATATATTCTATTAAATTTTAATTAATTTTTATCTTTTATTTTATTAAACTGATAAACTAGAATATAATATAAAAATAAATGTTTGAATTTAAAAATATAAATTAAAGCCGACAATGGTTGTATGTGGTGAAATGCTTACAAAAATGGTTGAACCACTTGTTTCCCTTCCCTCATCTGACTCTCTTTTCCCTCCCGGACAAAATGCTGCAGATGGCGATGGAAGTGCGTCTGCTACTTCGTTATCTCCATTGCCTCCTGATTTGTACTTGAAATCTCGAGATATTTTTTACAAAGAGTTTTATTTTTATAGGAAATCTCCATCACCTGGCAATCCAGTATCTGTTCGAAAAATTCCTATCAACTATTTTGGAAAGTTGGAAATCCCTAGTCCATGGATTCGACATTTACAAGAGAATAAAAGCAATTGGCGAGAACGGGCAGTAAAAGGTTCTTTTTAATAGAAATTGCCCCAAATAAGGTTTTGTAAGGCGGAAATTTTAGATTTCAACTAAGTTTTTAAAATATTTCAGGGGTTGTGTTTTATTTAGTTTTTCGTTCCGAGAAATCATGGAAAGTTTTTATATTTATTTTTGATTTAGAAGAGGCAGAACGTAATCGAATCCAACAAGAAAAACTACAACAACTCACTAATGGGCACACAAATTCAACAGAAAATGGTGGTGAATTAGTAGAAGACCACTAAAGAAGGACTTCATTTAAAAAAATATGTTTAGGTGTTTAGTTTGTCCCATCACGAAATTCTTTTTAATATTTTGTATTTAATGGTAGATGGAATTGGATTAATTTGTGACTTTTTTGGATATAGAAGTTTATTCACTAAAATAAAATAATGAGATTTTACTGTTGTAAACAATCGTTTAGCTTTTTACTTAGTATTTTATTTAAAGAAAAATCCAAATCTAGATACATATGTAAGTATTAAAAAATTAAATATCAATATTAAATTAAAACATATTAAGCCACCGTAAATAGAAAGGCAGAAACAAAAATATGTCAGAAAAGCCTTCAAAAACCTTCTGGATGCATATTAGTTCTTCTTCGGTAATCCCCGTTAGCATAAATATAACCATCATCTCCTACCAAGATTGCTTGAACAATTCCTTCGAAACCAGTTGTTGGCTTGAATTTTTGACCGAATTTTGATTCCAAATCTTGTAGTAGTTGCTAAAAATATTTGAAACTAATGTTAGAAATATTGAACCTCCCTATAGCGAACTCATTCGGATCTCCTTCTACTTACTTTTGGAACTGTTTCTTCATATTGAGTCACGTCTGGTGTAAATTGATTATGCTAAATAACTATTTTTATTCAAATTAAATTTGATACCTACCAAAACCGGTGAATCTATTGCCTAAATTTTAAAAATTAAAATAATTTTGATTTAAAATATACTTCTTTGATTGTTTCGTTAAAACAAAGAACTCGAATTATTGGCTTTGCCATAGCAGAGATAATTTTTGACCCTCCTGATGCTCCAATGACAAATTTTAACTAGAATGTTAATTTCCTTAGATTTTTAGTAAAATTACATTCTATTTAAAATAAAAATCAAGTAATAAAAATTACATTTCCATTTTCACGATCAAAAATAACCATTGGACTCATCGAGCTCATAGGCCGTTTACCTGGCTCAATAAAGTTCGCATCCGATGGAGCAAATCCAAAGCTTGATTTTTTTGTTATAAAATTTAAAAAAATTAATTAAACCCGTTAGGCATTCCTGGAGAAGAGAAATCATCCATTTCATCATTCCAAACAATTCCTAATTTTTCGGATTGCACAACAGCACCAAACCTTTATAATGATTTATTTAATTTCTAAAATATATAACCATCGATTAACAGTACTGGTTGCAGAAACGCCATTTCCATCTGCATCAAGTACAGAAACATGTGAAGTACCATGATCTTCCTTCTGTAAAAGCAACAATTTTTTTTAATAATCCTAAATTAATTACAAAATATATCTTTTTCTATCAATTTTAGACACGCAAACTTGCACTTTTCTATTATAATTATAATTTTACTTGAGCATTAATAGGATTTCCATCAGTATAATAAGTTGAAAACATGGCTTTTGGAGGTACTTTTTTTAAAATCATTTTTGCAAATTCTCTTTGGGTCATATTTATTGCTAATTCTTTTGCCTGTGGTACAAAGTGTATATCTCCAAGACGGGTTCTTTTTGCATAGGCAAATTTTTGTGTTTCAATTAACCAATGATAAAACTCGGTATCATCAAGAACTCCATTTAACGGATTGCCCCAACGAGTATAATTAGAAAATTTAGCTAAAAAATAAAATTATTTCATTTTTGTAAATTTTCTGAAAGTTGAAAAATTTACAAGTCATTGTAGCAACAATTGCTTGTGTAACAGCAAAGGAAGAAGGAGGGGGTGGACCACACATTCGCAAATTCCCTGAGAATCCATCAACCAGAAGTGGAGAATCATGAACTAATACTCTATAGTTATGCAAATCTTCTTTTGTGAGAATACCGCCCAAAATTTTTAAAAGAAAAATTTCATGTAAAAACAAAAAATACATACCATTGTCCGCCATTTCATTAATAATCTCCTCAGCCATTTCTCCTCTGTAAAATAATTCAACAGGATTTCGTTCATTAGCTAAACGTTCCAGTGTGTCTATAAAATATGATAAAACGTCGTGTTAATTTAATTTCATTCTCTAACCAATATTTTCGTTTTAAACTAGTCGGCACAAGAAATGCCATTTTACCAATCTTTGCAATATTAAGAAATAACAAATAAACAAACCTGCCAATTCTGGACGTTTAATTATATCACCAAATTGCCATACTTTATTTGTTTTTGGATTAAACCAACTTTTCATTGAAGGTAATGTTTTTAAATGATTTTCTTTTATATTCAATACATAAGCTAAAAATTCACTTATTGGAACACCTTTTCTAGCTAAATTTACTGAAGGCATTATCTGTTAAGAGAAAGAGAAAATTAAAACAAAAAAAAATTTAAAAAATTAAAAAAATTAAAACAAAAAAGAAAATTAAAACAACCAACCAGATCAGACCAATTTACTTTCCCACTTCCCCATTCTTTAAAAGCTCTCCAATAACCAGCCAACTCACCCGGAGTTGCAATAGCACGAAAACCTTAATTTATTATCAATTTATTTTAAATACCATTTTATAAAAATTTAATTACCATACTTACTAGCCCATTCATCCTTTCCATACATTTCTTTATGACTAGCCTTAGGAGCAGTTTCTCTTGCATCTAATACAAAACATTTTTGTTTTGTTCTATCATAAAATGTCATAATAAAACCGCCACCCAAACCACTACTTTGTGGATTTGTAACACCCAAACAAAAAAGTGAAGCAATTGCTGAATCTATTGCATTTCCACCAGCAATTAATATATTTCGACCTATTTCACTACAAATTCCATGATCACAAGTAATTGCTGCTTTTTTAAAGCGTCCCATTAAAGAATAGGATGGAGGTGGCCAATCATAACGATGTTCTCGATTGCCAGGAAACTGTTAATGATTTTGTTATGAGATTTTAACTTATTATATGGTTGTTTACGTTAAAAAATAAAATTACCCTTCTTAGTCTTTGTTCAGAATTACTTCTCCCCATGTGTGGTATAACAACAAAAAGTAAAATACCAGCAAGTATGGTAAGCATAATTGCAGCACCAGCAATCAAATTAATATATAATCTTTAAAAACAAAAATTTATTATTTAGCTCATCTCTAATAGAAATTATCAATAATTCATGATATGTATTACATTAGAATTATGCTATTATAGAAATTTAACTCATGAGAAATTTGATTGAATGTTTTAAAGTAACAAAGTTATTTTAAAAAAGCTTTGGTTTTTTAATTTACACATACATTTTTGTTTATTGTAATGTGAGATTTTCTTACAAGAAAACTGGAACAAAAAATATATATAGTAGGTTCACAATAAATTGTGAAGTTACTTACTCTAAAGCGATCTTTCAAAAGAAACAATGAATCTTTAAACGAAGTTCTCTAAAAAATAAAATCTTACTTTGCTTTCCAAATTGATTTTGTATTAATTTTTGCTTTAGTCTTTTGTTTATTGAAAAATTGTCCATTTAATTCTCTAGAAATATTTGAAGATAATTGAGGTGTTGAATCAAAACCACAATAAAAAGCTTCAGCTGTACTTTCACTGCTAGTGCTTGGTTCTGTTGGACTTATTTGAACACCATCAACAAAACGGGTGGTCATTTTGAACTGAAAAATAAAAGAAAAAACTTAAATAGGTATAAGTAATAAGCATACCTTTAAAATGAAAGCAAATATGTACTAATAATATTAAAGCATTTGTTCAAATGAAATAATAAAAAAATAAAAAGAATTTAGTTAGTATATTGTATTCTGAAAAGCTTTAAAAAAATAAAATGTCATCCCATATAATCATTAAAAAGAATTGCGCAAAACTAGTTCTATTTTACATATAAACAAATATACAAAAACAATTGTCTAAGGCCAACGTATGCTTTTCCTCCTTTATAATGACATATTTATAAATGTATGTGTAATAAACCGGAAAATAGTGTAATAAAACGGAAGAAAATAGGTATGTATCTTTAATTCTATACGTGATTGTATAAAAAATAGAATGATTAAGCAATAATGATTCAAGCATTGAGAAATACATATAAAAATTTAACAATTTTTCGTATATGAGGAATTTTTTTTTTATAGAAAAAGAAAAGTAACATCCGCTTTAAGATGTGCATGAAAATTGCACATATCGGATTTTATATTAAAACGCACTCAATCGTTTTTATGACAATTTAAAAATAAAAATTTATGTGAAAGAATCTTAATGTAACATAAAATTGAGGGCGAAAGATGCTAAAAAAGAATAAAAATAAGGAAAAAAATGAGAAAATTATTTGCCATTCAGCGTAAATTGGCAATAAATATGAGTTCAAATTTGACTGAACAATAAGTCTGCATCTATGATAGATCACTGTAGATCACTGATGTTTTACAGCCTTGAAATTGAGGGTGTGTCTGTACAAAAGACCGGTGCAAAAAAAGACCGGAACGGGCAAAAAGGGGTTAAAAGATCGGAACGGGCCTCATATCCGGGCTAGCACCAGTAACGACTTATCCAAGCTCAAAGAGCTTTAGAAACTCGTCCATCATCCAAAGCTATTTAACTAGAATAACCTCCAGTTTATCATTTCAGGACATCGAGGGTTTTCTCAATGATTCTAAACCAGCATAGCATTCCAAATTTAATTAATTAAACTCTAAATAGGTTCAGGCTTTCATACCTGCCAGTTATATCCAAAGGCACGGGTTCTTATTCAATAGGTGTAGACAGTAGGGCACTAGGCATAGGCTTCCTTAGACGTTGATTAGACTTTGATCTTTGATTTACCCCCCCTTCCTGACCCAAATGTCCAATGATCAATTGTCCAGTGATCAATTGTCCCAATGATCAATTGTCCCGGGACCAAATGTCCAGTGATCAATTGTCCCAATGATCAATTGTCCAGGGACCAAATGTCCACTGATCAATTGTCCCAGTGAGCAATTGTCCCAGTGACCAAATGTCCCAGTGACCAAATGTCCAGTGATAAATTGTCCCTGACTGTCCCACACTAAAAATCCCACACTGAAAATCTGGCACCAAAAATGACCGACCCCCCTTTTTCAAAAATCCTTTCCATAGGATCAGGCTTTCATACCTGCCAGTTATATCCAAAGGCACGGGTTCTTATTCAATAGGTGTAGACAGTAGGGCACTAGGCATAGGCTTCCTTAGACGTTGATTAGACTTTGATCTTTGATTTACCCCCCTTCCTGACCCAAATGTCCAATGATCAATTGTCCAGTGATCAATTGTCCCAATGATCAATTGTCCCGGGACCAAATGTCCAGTGATCAATTGTCCCAATGATCAATTGTCCAGGGACCAAATGTCCACTGATCAATTGTCCCAGTGATCAATTGTCCCAATGATCAATTGTCCCGGGACCAAATGTCCAGTGATCAATTGTCCCAATGATCAATTGTCCAGGGACCAAATGTCCACTGATCAATTGTCCCAGTGAGCAATTGTCCCAGTGACCAAATGTCCCAGTGACCAAATGTCCAGTGATAAATTGTCCCTGACTGTCCCACACTAAAAATCCCACACTGAAAATCTGGCACCAAAAATGACCGACCCCCCTTTTTCAAAAATCCTTTCCATAGGATCAGGCTTTCATACCTGCCAGTTATATCCAAAGGCACGGGTTCTTATTCAATAGGTGTAGACAGTAGGGCACTAGGCATAGGCTTCCTTAGACGTTGATTAGACTTTGATCTTTGATTTACCCCCCCTTCCTGACCCAAATGTCCAATGATCAATTGTCCAGTGATCAATTGTCCCAATGATCAATTGTCCCGGGACCAAATGTCCAGTGATCAATTGTCCCAATGATCAATTGTCCAGGGACCAAATGTCCACTGATCAATTGTCCCAGTGAGCAATTGTCCCAGTGACCAAATGTCCCAGTGACCAAATGTCCAGTGATAAATTGTCCCTGACTGTCCCACACTAAAAATCCCACACTGAAAATCTGGCACCAAAAATGACCGACCCCCCTTTTTCAAAAATCCTTTCCATAGGATCAGGCTTTCATACCTGCCAGTTATATCCAAAGGCACGGGTTCTTATTCAATAGGTGTAGACAGTAGGGCACTAGGCATAGGCTTCCTTAGACGTTGATTAGACTTTGATCTTTGATTTACCCCCCCTTCCTGACCCAAATGTCCAATGATCAATTGTCCAGTGATCAATTGTCCCAATGATCAATTGTCCCGGGACCAAATGTCCAGTGATCAATTGTCCCAATGATCAATTGTCCAGGGACCAAATGTCCACTGATCAATTGTCCCAGTGAGCAATTGTCCCAGTGACCAAATGTCCCAGTGACCAAATGTCCAGTGATAAATTGTCCCTGACTGTCCCACACTAAAAATCCCACACTGAAAATCTGGCACCAAAAATGACCGACCCCCCTTTTTCAAAAATCCTTTCCATAGGATCAGGCTTTCATACCTGCCAGTTATATCCAAAGGCACGGGTTCTTATTCAATAGGTGTAGACAGTAGGGCACTAGGCATAGGCTTCCTTAGACGTTGATTAGACTTTGATCTTTGATTTACCCCCCCTTCCTGACCCAAATGTCCAATGATCAATTGTCCAGTGATCAATTGTCCCAATGATCAATTGTCCCGGGACCAAATGTCCAGTGATCAATTGTCCCAATGATCAATTGTCCAGGGACCAAATGTCCACTGATCAATTGTCCCAGTGAGCAATTGTCCCAGTGACCAAATGTCCCAGTGACCAAATGTCCAGTGATAAATTGTCCCTGACTGTCCCACACTAAAAATCCCACACTGAAAATCTGGCACCAAAAATGACCGACCCCCCTTTTTCAAAAATCCTTTCCATAGGATCAGGCTTTCATACCTGCCAGTTATATCCAAAGGCACGGGTTCTTATTCAATAGGTGTAGACAGTAGGGCACTAGGCATAGGCTTCCTTAGACGTTGATTAGACTTTGATCTTTGATTTACCCCCCCTTCCTGACCCAAATGTCCAATGATCAATTGTCCAGTGATCAATTGTCCCAATGATCAATTGTCCCGGGACCAAATGTCCAGTGATCAATTGTCCCAATGATCAATTGTCCAGGGACCAAATGTCCACTGATCAATTGTCCCAGTGAGCAATTGTCCCAGTGACCAAATGTCCCAGTGACCAAATGTCCAGTGATAAATTGTCCCTGACTGTCCCACACTAAAAATCCCACACTGAAAATCTGGCACCAAAAATGACCGACCCCCCTTTTTCAAAAATCCTTTCCATAGGATCAGGCTTTCATACCTGCCAGTTATATCCAAAGGCACGGGTTCTTATTCAATAGGTGTAGACAGTAGGGCACTAGGCATAGGCTTCCTTAGACGTTGATTAGACTTTGATCTTTGATTTACCCCCCCTTCCTGACCCAAATGTCCAATGATCAATTGTCCAGTGATCAATTGTCCCAATGATCAATTGTCCCGGGACCAAATGTCCAGTGATCAATTGTCCCAATGATCAATTGTCCAGGGACCAAATGTCCACTGATCAATTGTCCCAGTGAGCAATTGTCCCAGTGACCAAATGTCCCAGTGACCAAATGTCCAGTGATAAATTGTCCCTGACTGTCCCACACTAAAAATCCCACACTGAAAATCTGGCACCAAAAATGACCGACCCCCCTTTTTCAAAAATCCTTTCCATAGGATCAGGCTTTCATACCTGCCAGTTATATCCAAAGGCACGGGTTCTTATTCAATAGGTGTAGACAGTAGGGCACTAGGCATAGGCTTCCTTAGACGTTGATTAGACTTTGATCTTTGATTTACCCCCCCTTCCTGACCCAAATGTCCAATGATCAATTGTCCAGTGATCAATTGTCCCAATGATCAATTGTCCCGGGACCAAATGTCCAGTGATCAATTGTCCCAATGATCAATTGTCCAGGGACCAAATGTCCACTGATCAATTGTCCCAGTGAGCAATTGTCCCAGTGACCAAATGTCCCAGTGACCAAATGTCCAGTGATAAATTGTCCCTGACTGTCCCACACTAAAAATCCCACACTGAAAATCTGGCACCAAAAATGACCGACCCCCCTTTTTCAAAAATCCTTTCCATAGGATCAGGCTTTCATACCTGCCAGTTATATCCAAAGGCACGGGTTCTTATTCAATAGGTGTAGACAGTAGGGCACTAGGCATAGGCTTCCTTAGACGTTGATTAGACTTTGATCTTTGATTTACCCCCCCTTCCTGACCCAAATGTCCAATGATCAATTGTCCAGTGATCAATTGTCCCAATGATCAATTGTCCCGGGACCAAATGTCCAGTGATCAATTGTCCCAATGATCAATTGTCCAGGGACCAAATGTCCACTGATCAATTGTCCCAGTGAGCAATTGTCCCAGTGACCAAATGTCCCAGTGACCAAATGTCCAGTGATAAATTGTCCCTGACTGTCCCACACTAAAAATCCCACACTGAAAATCTGGCACCAAAAATGACCGACCCCCCTTTTTCAAAAATCCTTTCCATAGGATCAGGCTTTCATACCTGCCAGTTATATCCAAAGGCACGGGTTCTTATTCAATAGGTGTAGACAGTAGGGCACTAGGCATAGGCTTCCTTAGAC